AGTATCTATTGTGTAATGCCACAATGATGCATCATATAGTGTCTTGATCACTTTCTCTTCGAAAAGAAGTTCTACTTGTTAGAAAATTTGAAGGTAAATTTATACAATGGTTCTCGCGTGGATTTGGGTCGAGCTGATGCGATATCGGTGTATTCGGATGATAGTTTCACTGAGCTACTTCATCGTTTCACGCCATCAACTAAAGACTTCTCGTTATCAGTTCAGTCGAATTCAAAATTAACGATTCATGTACGTGCGAGTGCAGCCGATGGCGAGTACGGGTTTCTGGCCGAAATTGTCGTCCTTCCATCTGTTCCACAAAGGAGTATGCTCTTGACTGATCTTTGAATTCTAAAATGCAATTTCATGGAATACAATTCTTACTTCGATTTACAATCGTGTTCCGAATTTTAAAATCATTCAATAACCTTTGCAAATATTCAACTTTAGTGATTATCTCACGATTAGTGGCACTCGAATGAAAGCAAGTTATTGACTGATCCATTGTGAAGCAACAGGCATGTTTTTTTTTTCTGCGAGCATTCAGAGAAACAATTTCAGATCCTGTTGAGGAAATCGTGCTGCATCAGAGCCGAATTGAAGAAAACGATCGTGGTGCGATCTCGTATCGAAATACGGGTGAAATGGGACCAAATATAATCGTCGATGGTTGCAGTATTAATCGCAATGGATATCATCTATACGGCAATANATTTATACACAAATTCATGAATTCATTGGAATTGCCGATTCATCAAGCAGCTTTCAATTGTAGAGCTACTTAATAGAACGGAATAAAATACCTTGATAGCTGTTCCAAAAACACAAATCGTTGCGTTTCGAATTTCAGTGGGCTCAACTGAGAAGCACATCAATCACGCATAATATTGGTGGTTTGCTGGTGACAAGTGAAACATCATCAGCCGTGGCACGACTTGTGATTGTTATTCGAGACTCAGCACTGATGCATAATTCAAATAGTACCACACTTGCGTTACTTGGCAATAATTATCAGGTAGATGCATAATTTTTCATTAATTTTTGTCACTATCTCATTAAAGGTTTCGTTTCATTGCAATCAGCATGCGTAAACATCATTGGTGAATGACCTCAAATTCCTTTAAAATTCGGTTTTTGTCGGATCATTTTAGTATGGAGCGATAGTTCATCGTTCACCTGGCCTGCACTGTTGTAATATATGAATCAGGGTGTGCAGGGAATTCTCTTGGGTATTTTTCATCCAAAATAACTAGAAATGCCAAAATAACTAGGAATCATTTTAGAAAGCCACTCTTCTCAACAACCTCATCTCACGCAACTATGCACTCTATCAAGACATCGTATTCATACGCGGCATTTCAACCAATTTCACGCATAATCTCTTCTCTAACAATACCGGCCTTCATATAGTCGACACCCAACCGTACAGTTCATTGTCAACAGAATCTCAAGCTTTCTACAACAATTGGTTCTATGATAATATCGCTTTGGGGCATGGACATCAATACATGGTTAGTGCATTGACCTTCTCTAGATTGCTTGCTCTGTTTTGTGAAATATATTTCCCAAGATGAGAATTCCTTCTCCCTTGTTTATCTAATGTTGGTGTTTGTCACATCTAAGAAATGGGATCGGATCGTTCATTCAGAACTGTCATTTGGGATTGAAAACATTGACAATAGCTGAATTGATCACGCGAATTTCAGGAAGATTATGGATTCCAACCGGAAAATTTGCTTGATGATTATTCACGTCGTCCAAAGCGTCAAGTGTTGGATCAAGATGGTGTCAGTTTCGATTGGTGGACACACGTTGGCGGTGATACACAACGCTATCGCAGCACTGTTTTCGCTGGTACATCACGACAAACGTATCGAATGAATTCATTCAACAATCCATTGAATCCGTACGAACTCACAACAGCACCGGTCACGAAGTAAGGAANAACACGTTATGTTTCCAGTTTTGCTTACCAATTTGTGGTTTATCCAGTGAAATCGTGTGTAGTGTGAATGTTCGAACAATTATTGTTGTCATTCTGTTTGAACGTTGATGTAATGGAGTGACTATTTTGCAGCTTCGATGCGGGTGTAATTGATGCACGTGAAAATTATTGGGGATATCCGGGAACGATTGGTGTGGCTAGTGGGAAGATACGTGATGGATTGGATTATGATTATTTGATCAGAGTTGATTATCAACCTGTACTTGAATCAAATACTTCACTCATTGATGGTTTGTTTTCACTCACATAATGTTGAAATACTTCAACTGAAAGATACGTAGATTCGTTGCAACAAATCTTCAAACTTTCACTTCGTAAGTTCGATGAAGACGAGTGTGACATCTCACTTTCTTATTCATTTGGTGTTGCTTAGATTCAATTTTCATTTCGTGCGTATAAGCGAGTTTTCTTTCGAATCCTCTAAGTTTTAGGTGATTGCCCGGCCGGATGGTTCGCGGCTGGTTACGACGAATTCAGATCGTGTTTCCTGTATGTTGGTGCAGCTGCAACTTATACTTCAGCGGTCAAATTTTGTGAGGTATTTCTTTAAAGTTAAATGGTCTCCAATCCGAGAAGTTCTATCGTCTTTATGAAAACGTACAGTTTTATTCTCATTTGAACGTGGTTACACCATGCCACACTAAGCGAACTCATGCAAGAATCATTGAACGGTTCCAGATTATCGCAATTCTTAAGTGAACGATCTGAATTGGTGATTCCATCGCTTGGAATTGAAACAACCACATCGGAATAGTTGAAAAGTGTCGATAATCGTGAATGAAAAATTTAGGAGATGGATGCCTTTGTGCCTTTCTTGCGAGCCGACGATGGAAGGCAGACGGAACTGGCACAAAAAGTCAATGAAATCACAAAAATAAGCACTGTAGACGGTGATCGTTTCAACTCATATCCGGTAAGAGAGTACTTGCGTTTCTGATCCATTTGAGAATTTTCCTGTGCAATACCCCATCCATTGGAATGAAATCTGCGACATGTTTTCGACTGTTCCACAATCATCTACTTCCAATATGAATTCGTAATTGCCGTGGTTCTTATAGGGGTGAAAGTACCCATTTTAGGTAATTTGGAGGTGTAAAGGGGTAAGTAAGGGGGTCGGGAAATTAGTACGTCGTGCAGTTGTTATATTATGATGGAACATCATCGCGATGGTGTTTTTAACTCGTGTACATGAATGTAGTTTTTGATGACAACATTCTCGTACTGCTATTTTCTGAGTATCATTAGCTCGTCCAGACCTAACAAGGTTTTCAT